ATGAACATATCGTGGACGTGATCATTGATCTCGTTAATTTCGCGATGCATTTGTTTGGTATCTGATTCAGCTACACTTTTGAACATGTCATGGACGTGATCATTGTTCTCGTTATTTTCGTGATGCATTAGTTTGGTATCTGATTCAACTACACTTTTAAACAAGTCATGGTCAAATTAGTAACGGGACCAACTTTTTTATAAGAATATGAAAATGCATTAAAATTTCCATGTTTGATTTTTTCAAAATTATTTTTTCTCAAATTCATTTTTTAATCACACATTTTTCAGAAAGAGTTCACTTCTAAGTTACTTGGCTTTTCAAGATTGTATTGTCAGTGGTGCTTGTTATGCCTTTGTTTGGGCCCTATTTCAAGGAGATTTTGGGGGAAATGTTAGAATATTAATTTTTTTATGAAGAGCTTGATGTTAAAAAAGAAGGAAAAGTTTTTGCCTTTGGATTATTGGATTTGCAAAGATGGAGAGACAAAAGAGAAAAGAAGCTGAGCATAAAGCCAAGTTGGATGAGATTGGTGAAAAGCGAAGGCAACTTGAGAAAGAACTGGGGGAGAAAGGAAGGCAAAGGAGAGAGAAGCTTTTGCGGAGATCAAGTTCAGAGCCATCAAGGCTCGCTGACCTGTCTGCCATGCCACGTCCAGTGGAGGTAGCACCCACTCTTGCACCAACTCCAGGACAACCCTGTTTAGTAGATATTAAAATCAGATTTTTAGTAAATTTTCATAAAAATTGATGAAATGTGTAGTTGAATAGTTGTGGATCCCATAAAACGTGTGGTTAAAATTAATTGTTTACTTTGATTTGAGATTTTAATCCAAACCAAACATGTGCTAAGTATGCTTCCCAGTTCAAACGCATGTCAACAAAAGGTGGCGAGGCCCAGGCCCCACTTGTGGAAAATGATCGGTGGGCAAGTAGTGGTGGTAACAGGATGGACGATCGTCCACTCAACCCGGTGACAGGTGGGGCGATGATCGTAGAACTTCCTTTGGTCGTCTTCCAAGACTCAGGATCATCGAGTTTGATGTAGTTTGATATTGATTTGGAAAATCTTGGCTGCTGCGATGTGGTTTCAATGTTTTTAGAGGCACTTTCTTTCGTCATCATCTTTGATTTTGCTCCGAGTCGGAATAGTGATTTGATGAAGAATGTGTTGTTAAAAAAATAAGAAAAAGTTTCAAATTTGCCTATAATATTATTTTATTGAAAAATATGTGATTAAAAATAAAAGTAAAAAACATACTTTTAAAATAATGTAAACCAAAGAAGGATCGAATATTTCCTATATTATAGAGAAAATTGCAGTCACGGTACCAAACCTTTCAATTTTAAGCAAACTTTGCCTAAACATTCATTTTGTTGCACTTACAGTATCAAACATTTCAAAAACTTGTACCTAAAGTCCAAATTGATGATTTTTATTATTTTGATTGTTAGTTGAATAAATTGATTTTGAACAATTTTAGACAGGTTAAAATGATAACTTTGAATTAAAATTAGAAAACAACAAAAAAAACAAAAGAAAAAGAAATAAAATGGTCTTCTTCTTCACCTTCCCTACTCGGCTACCTCGCGCCTGCCCCTGAAAATCAACCACTGACGCCATCACTCAACGTCGACCATCCAAGATATATGATTTTCCTAAATCCCTCACTATTTATGTGCACTTCAGTGTTCACTCTTTAACCTCAATTCTTCCGGTTTGAAACACCAAAATCCTCACAAAATAAAGCCCTCGCAATAATCCAGAATGATTTTACAGAGAACAGTTCACGGTAGCCATTTTCGCACACTTTTCAAGATCCAAAGCTGAGATTTTTTGCAACAGATTTTCGAAGATTTACAAAAACACTTTTCGCGGCTATTTTTCGAAGCAGCATATTTACCTAAAATTTTGAAGCAGCTGATTTGGTGGATTAAGAAGATATATTTTTGTCATCTGGAGGTGAAATAAGCTTAGATTTGTTGTTTGTGGTTTAGTAATTTAAGAAAAAAATGGGTGAATCCACAGGATTTCAAAGTACGTCAAAAAAAAATTGCCCAGAAAAAAGAAAATCAAACTCTAAATACAAAATTTAAAAATGGGTTTCCGAATATTTACCTTCTTAGCTTAGAAAATCGAATGCAGAATATGATAGGCTCACAATTGAACGAAACCCTAGTTAGCTGTAAATAGTACATCTTCTCTTCAATTTATGTATGTTTTCGTTAATATTTTTATGTTCTTAACATTAGAGTCTATCTTCTCTTTAATTTCCCTAAATAGAGTCATCAGATTTGTCGGAGTTGAGTGGCTGCGTCGACGGCTGATTTTAAGGGGTGGGTTGGGATATGATGGGTGAAGAAGAAGAAGACCATTTTATTTCTCTTTTTTTGTGGTTTTTTTTCTAATTTTAATTTAAAGTTACTATTTTATCCCTTCAGAATTAGTCAAAGTCAATTTATTGAATTAATTAACAGTTAAATTAATAGAAATCATGGTACTATAGGTACAACAAAATGAAAGTTTAGGCAAAGTCAGCTTAAAACTGAAATGTTTGATGTCATGGCTGCAATTTTTCCTATATTATATTCCAATTTACCCCTAAAAAACATGGACATTGTCCATTTAGCAACTAGATATTCTTCTTAAAGGAGGTCTAAAATCCCTTGTCACCATGGAAGGGAAAATATATTAAGGCCCCGTTCGGAAGTGATTAAAATCCAATTAAAATTGAAAATATGATCGTTATTGGGTCCCACCCTTCTAATAAAAGTCAATAATAACGGCTATATTTTCAATTTTAATCCGATTTTAATCCCTCCCATACAAGGCCTTAGTATCGTGGTTGAAATTTTTTGTTTAGTTGATTCGGAAGCTGAATCAGAGTAAATATGACGTCACGTCTAGTNCATTAAAATTTTCATTCTCATTCTTCTACTCATTTTCAACCACACATTCTTCATTAAAATAATATTTTTCATCACATCAATAACTTTTCCTTCTTTATCAACCACACATTCTCCATCAATCTACTATTCCAAAATACATTCTTCCAAAATAATATATATCAAACATACTCTAAGTGTTAGTAAATTGATAGGGAACGTGTGGTTAAAACATAAGGAAAAATTTTAAATTTGCGCAGAATATTATTTTATTAAAAAATATGTGGTTGAAAGAAAATAGACAAAAATGTATTTTAAAAATAATGAGAATCAAACAAATACTGAATAAGAGTCATGTTTGGTATACAATTTTGTTAACAATTTTATTTGTAGAATATCACGTGACATTATGTCATTAGACAATTTTAATAAAAGTTATTTTTGTATCCAATAATTTTTTTGCCAATGCCCCCACATTATGAACAAGGTTGTCATAAATGATGTACCAATAGTAAAATTCATGGAATAAAGTTACAAGAACAAAGTTACATGTACAACACACGGGCAACAAAATTTAGTTAGAACCTCTCACAAGGAAGTTAGTATATTAAAATAAGAAAAATGCTGCCCCCCGAGCCACATCTAAGTTGGCAAAGGATGGGCACTGCTGGGCTTACAACTTCAGGGTGGGGAGTTCGATTTCTGGATGGAGCAACTGAGTGTTGTAATATCCCTGGTCAATTTGGACATATCCCGTGATTAACCTCCACCCATCACTGAGAGGCCGGGGATGGGTGGTCCAGGACATAATCTAGTGTAAGTTAGGATACCTGGATATCAAAAAAAAAAAAATGCTAAATGTACATCAAAAGATGTACATCACCTCACATGGAGGGGGCCCACTCAAATAAAATATTCAAGTGGGTCCCTTACCCATATGAGGGGGATGTACACCGTGATGTACATCTCGATGTATCTCTAACATTGTTCTTAAAATAATAGTGGACTACACCTTCCTTAATTCCTTGTGAGAGGTTGTAATATAATATTGTACAAAAAAAACATTATTCAAGTTATAATTACATTGCTCTGTACGTTTCAGTTTCAGGGGGCCAGCTGCCCCTCTGACATAATTTTCAGAATTTGATTCGAAGAATAAAAAAAATTATTGTACTTTTTCTCATCATAGTACTGCTTAAGGATGCGTTTTGAGTTGGGCAATTTTTGAATTATTTTTAAATCACATCATTCTAAAAAGTTTGGAAAAATTTCAAATCAAACTAATCATTTTATTTTTCAAACTAAATCATCCTTTGCAATTTTTTTTTCAGTTATAAATCACAATTTTAATACAGAAAAATAATATATTTTAAACAAGTTAAAAATAAATATAATAATCTTAAAATTCAATTATATAAATTCAAAATTTTAAATATAAAATCGCTATATTAGTAAATTAATATAAGTACAAGCTTAAATCAATAAATTAATACAAAGTTCAACCACAAAATTTATACTTGCGATTTTCTTTAGATAAGAGAAATCCTATCTAAATAAAATTAATATTTTTTAATGACTTAATAGAAGTCCACTAACAAATAAATTTGTTAAAGAATAAATTATTTCAATAAATAATATATTTCAAATAAAACAAGTATGTGTATATATATATATGTATATATATATATATATAAAATCAAATACCCTGTTTGACCCACATTATTCTCTCAAAAATACATTTTAAACCGTATTTTGATGAAAAATATGTGATTAAAAAATGAGAAATTTTTTTAAGTTTGCGTGTAATATTATTTTATCGAAGAAATATGATTAAAAATAAGTGGAAGAAAAATATATTTTAAAATAACTATGGTCAAACATGGCGAAAGTTTCAGATCCACAATTTCGATTGGATTTGGCCACTGGTAGTGACAAAAAATAACGCAATAAAGGAACGTAAAAAAGAAGGAAATAACACATGATTCATGTCTTGGTTTGGAGATTCAGAATCTTCCAAGACACCCTTGATAAACTCAAAAAGTAGTACCCAGTCTTCTTCTCTTCAACCTCGCCTGCTAATAATACTCTTTGGATTAGACTGTGTACTGCTGGTCAATGGCCATAGAAGAAGAAACAGCACTGGTTGTTGAAAGCTCTTCACCAACTCATACTTTGAATCACAAAAGAGATGTTCATATTCTCTGCTGGGCTTTCCTTCTGATTTTCTTGGCTTATGGTGCTGTCCAAAACTTAGAAAGTACCATCAATACTGTGAGTTTCCATATTTTCAAGATCTCAAATTTTCTTAATAGTTTTTCATTTTTGATGATTCATCTGAATGCGAAAGATGTATCTTGGTGATTTTTATTTGGGGTTTTACCTGTGTTGGGTGAACTGGCAAGAGCTCAGCTAATAGTTTCTGGTGTTTTTGGTTGCAATTCCCTTCCTCACAAGGGACTTGCTCGTTATTTCTGATAATTTTTTCTTGGGTTTTCCTAGGAAGGAGGTTTGGGTACCATATCATTGGGGATATTATACGTATCGTTTGCAGTTTTTTCGGTGATTGCTTCATTGGTGGTGAGGAAGCTTGGGACGAAGAATGCTTTGATTCTTGGTTCCACCGGATATTGGCTGTTCATTGCTGCAAATTTGATGCCTACTTGGTATGCGTTTTTGTTCAGTCATGAATAATTTCTGACATTGTAATTACTCTTCACTTCTGCTTCCACTATTGACATAATTAGGGGATCATGGAATTGTTGACTTGTTGCCTTTCGGTCATTGTTTGTATTGTCAAATTATGAAAGAATTGCTTGCATTCTCATTACTTTGGACTGTACTCTGGTGTAAATATATATGTACAACACTACAGCTAAATTACGATGGAAATAAAAGGAAACGATAGATCAACAAGACCGTGATAAATGGATGATCATTGGCAGCTATTATGATATCATCAACGAACACAAGGACTGTAAAATGAGAATTATAGGACTTCATAAACAAACAAGGATCAGCATGAGATTGAACAAACCCAACTTTCTTAACAGCAGATGAAAATTTCTCAACTGTCTATTATCCAAGATGTTGAAATAGTACTAGCAACTGAATTACGAGAGGGAAGGTTTTACCAGTTAAGTTTGTAGCACAAGGTAGCAATTCTGCAGAAAGAAGAGTAACCAGTTGCTTATATTGCTATTTTGTGAGACCAGGACCTTGGATTGAATTCGATGATGATGGAGTAGAGCTTTGATCAGCATGAATTTGATGCTCATCTGGCTGCCTTGGTTTAGTAGTTGCTGGTGCAGCACTATGAGGCCAGTGTATAAGTTTATTCCAGTTCCTGGGTTGCCAATAGTCTGAAAGCATTTTGCCTTTATATGTCCATACTTTTCACACTGATCACAATAAGGTCTGCCACAACCTTGTCCAAGGCTCTGCTGATTTTAATACGTGAGATTTGCTATTGGCTGCAAGATCTGTGGATTTAAGAGATGTTTATTTTGAAATATGAAGAAGAGGTTGAGGTTCTTCTTGATGGGTAATGGAATAAGCTTTACCAACATTAGAGGGTCCACAGCCAGAATCTGAGTCCTTATATGTGCATATATATAATTAAGACCCATTAGAGTTTGGAAAACTTTTCCTATTTCTTGCTACACTTGTGATTCACTCCGAGTTTCATACTTGCAAACAGAAACTGAGGGAAGTGTAGTGAATTCATCCCAATAGGATTTTGACATATTAAATAAACAACTAACAAATTTTGTTCAAGATGATGAATCGATGATTGCATATAGCTATCGTGAGTTCATAAATTCGTGGATAATTACTTTATGAAAAATACTCCTCCAACTCTAACCAAAGGGTTAGAGGATTATCACAATAGATGAGACTGCTGGGAAGGTTCTTCTTAATTCCATAGAGCATCCATGAAAGAACTATGTAGTAGCATCTCTCCCAAATTTTTACTTCTGAAGAATTGGCTGCAGACGCACCCTTCCATGAAAAAATCCAACTTGTTTTTTGCATTTAAAGCCATCTTCATGGCTCTTTTCAAAGTTGGATAATTATCGCCGTGTGCAAGTATTGTTAACATGGAATCGTTCATCTTTCGGCCTTCAAAGTAAATGTTCAATGCAAAACAGTTGCATGAAACTATTTCAAGTACTGCTAACTTTGACTTAAATAATCTAAGCCTTGGCGAACATATGTATTTTGTACTCATGTACTTGAATATATTGTTTGGACTTTATGTATCATCATCGGCTCTTCATATCTTCTTTTTATGTAATTCTATTATGTGTTTTTCGCTTTGGAAACTGTAATATTGTTATTGTTATACTGAGTTGATACTTATTTCATGATAGAGACATTGACGTTTGTACATTTCCATCTAGAAATATCTATGAATCTATCTAACAGAGAACATCACATGCTTTCTAGTTGGACATAGGTCGACACATCTATTCAACTTTTTAACTGTTGTAAATTTTTGCAGGACGACAATTTTACCTTGTGGGTTTTGCAGTTTTTGAGGATTTTGAACTTATAGAATGAACAAACCTAAATGGAGCTTCTGAAAATATGTCAAAGTGATTTTTATTTAGAATCTTAATTGTTCGATTCATTTGTCTTTCTAATGTAGTAGAATTTATTCATTCTTACTGTAGGTATACTATGGTTCCAACTTCTTTGTTCCTTGGGTTTGCTGCTTCAATAATATGGGTTGGGCAGGTTCAACACATTATCTACTTCCATCTCATTAATGATTGGCTTGTCCAGTTAATGTTGTTAATAACCTTTATGTTTTCTCAGGGGACATATCTTACTTCGACCGCACATAGTCATGCAAATGACTATGACTTGCATGAAGGAGCAGTGATTGGAAAGTTTAATGGAGAGTTTTGGGGGATGTTTGCATGTCACCAGGTACAGTGTTATGATTGACCCAGAAACTTTTAGTAGTTACACTTTTAACTTTCTAACTACTGGTGTATATTTCTAATCCGTTACAAAAAATTCTTTCTCAAACTGAATTGTGCAGCTCGTTGGCAATCTTATCACTCTTGCTTTGTTAAGAGATGGAAAGGTACACATATTTGCAATTTGGATTTTATTATTGTAATTATCAATCTCTTTAATTTACATTTGTAAAAAAAAAAAATATCACATGCTAATTATAGTTTAAGTGCAACGTACAAGTAGGCGGGGTAGGAATTAGTGTTAATATCTTCACATATGCCTTGCCCGGTTCTTTATGAGCTTTGAAGCAACACTTAGTAGTAGAAATTAATATAATTTGTTTTCTTTCCATCTTTTATTCTCTCATCCACTTGGACTAAAAACCTGCAATTAAGGATACCTAATATGATTTCCTTTTTTGCACAAAAAAAAAAAAAAAAAAAAAAGAAGAAGAAAGAGTTTGAGGGTTGATCGCGGTGTTATTGATCACTTAATTAATGATTGCTTCTATGTGCCTGTCATAATTTTATTAGTTTTACCTATCAACCAAAAATTTAAAAAAAAAAAAAGAAAGAAAAAAAGAAATGAGAAGAAAAGAAAAGAAAAGGATCCGTTAAACATTTTCCCTTGGTGTTATTGATAACTTAATTAATGATTGCTTCTATGTGCCTGTCATAATTTTATTAGTTTTACCTATCAACCAAAAATTTAAAAAAAAAAAAAGAAAGAAAAAAAGAAAAGAGAAGAAAAGAAAAGAAAAGGATCCGTTAAACATTTTCCCTTTTTTGAGGGTGCCTGTGGTGAGTTCTCATGTATAACCAAGAAATGAGTGCTAGCGACATACTCTTATTTGAAAGTTAAGAATTCTGTACTGTTCAGCTTTAATTATATTCGAAGTTACTAATTGATCCAGTAGTTTAACCACAGGGAGAGAAAACTACAGGCACAACTTTGCTTTTTGTTATGTTTCTTTGTAGCTCGACCATAGGTTCAATTCTTATGTGCTTCTTGAGTAAAAGAAATGATAAAGAGGAAGAACTGCAAGATTCTTTTGCCACCTTTTCTTCTTCAGTGGTATCTCTGTTAAAGACTATTTTGGCTCTATTACTCGACATTAGAATCCTCTTGGTCATCCCGCTTCTTGCATATTCAGGCTTACAACAAGCATTTGTATGGTAAGGTTCCCTGAATGTTATGATGCAAATACTTTCACATTTTGTGCAAGTATCGGCTTGTGGGCTCGTTATTATCTAATCTGTTCCTCCAACAAAATAGGATTTTTTTTTCCCTTACAGGGCGGAGTATACCAAATATCTTATCAAGCCTACACTTGGCGAGCGTGGTGTTGGTGGTGCCATGGCTGTTTATGGGGTCTTTGATGCTATTGTAAGTACAGAAATGCAAAACAAACCAGTATTAACTTTCAGATTCTGATAAAGAAGTCATTTGTTTTTTTGAAGATATAATTTAAATAAATGAATTTGTCTTCTCTAAGATTAAGCTTTTAGATGAGATGGTTAAATATGGTATTAGAATAGCTACATGTCTAGTGTTCAAGTCTGGCCTCAGCTGTTTATAAAAATTGTGCTAGTGTCAGGCCATTAATTAAAAAAAATTAATCTAACTTAAATGTGAAGGGGTGTGTAGAGACAATCTAAATAAATAAGTTTTTCCTCTAAACTTAAGCTTTTTGATGAGGTGGTTCAACATGTTTTACATAAATCTTGATCCAGCAAATCAAGTATTTTCTCTTTTTGTTAACTTGACTGGGTTGGATTTAAAAATCTGATAAGTGAATAACTTCACGAGCTATCCTTACAAGTATTTGTTATGCTACTGCCTTCTTCAGCAATTACCATTGGGCTGATATGCCCCTCGTATATTATAGGAGGTTTTGAATGGCAAGTTCGTCTATTTTTTCTTCTTTTACTTTCTCATGTGTTTACTGTTTGGCGTGAATATGAATTGTGGCATCATTTTCCACAAAATCCTATATGCAATTTCTACAGGTTCACTTGTTGAAGACCTGTATATTTGATTGTCTGGTATATGGACGGCATATTCATTATATCATTCGTGGCATCCAGAAATTGAATTTAATATTACCACGTTGGAAGTTGTGGGTTGCTTTGAAAGGAGTATCTCCCGATGGAATGGACCTGCTTTCACTAAGAGCATTTTTTGTTAAGCTTAAAAAGTTTACTTATGAGTAAAGTATATTTGCAAGCAGATAACTAAGTTTTAATGGTAATAAATGAGGAAATAAGTAATTTTTTACTTAGAGGTAGAAAAAAAACTGTAAAAACATGTTCAGTGGCAAAAAATTACTTTAATAGTAACTTTTACTTACTTTTAAGCTTAGCCACACATATTCTAATACTGGGCCAGCTTCTTTGTTCTCTCATCTTGTTATTGGAATTGTCTTAGTGTTCGGTCGCAGCTGGTCGACTTACCTCGGGTCTCTTATCAATTACAATAATAGTTTCTCTTGGAGCTTTCATTCAGGCCATTGTCTTGTGTTTGCTGCTGCTGAACTACAGGTTGACCGACCTATCAACTTCCACTCTTGGAGAACCCAGAGTGCCAACTTATTTAAATAATTTTAAGCCTAACAAATTATCATTTTAGTAATTTCTCGTCTCATTTATTTAGTATCTCCGGAGGACTGCTCAGTACATTATACCTACTTCTCATCGGAGGCATGTGGGGCATAGGTAATGGTGTATTGAACACTCAGCTAAGTGCTTTTCTTGGAATTCTCTTCAAGCATGACCTGGTAAAAATTTCTCCGCTTTCTGCCATTTTTTTCAATGCTAAAAGTATCTAGATGTTCAACCTTTAAGAAAATTTACGATGTTTTGCATAATGCTGTAATCTATAACACACTATTTCAGTTGCAAACAAAACTGGTATGTTATTAGAAAACATTAGACAGTACTAAGAAAGAAAGAAAAAACTAAAATCTTGTTCATCGTACAGTCTACTACGGTACACTGCTGCGTACCAATTATGTACGACATGTTTTTGTTGCTCGTTATCGCTTAAAAAATAAAGCATCATTTCTTTTAAACGGTCCATAACTGGACTTCGCACAGCTTCATCCACTTGCTTGCTTGGTTTCTCGAGTAATATTAGTGTATCTTAAGTTGGTGCTTGGAGTCTTATACCTGATTTCTGGTTGCAGGAGGGAGCATTTGCACAGCTTAAGCTTTGGCAAAGCATTTCAATTGCAGTTGTCTACTTTTTGAGTTCATATATTTCGTTTCAGACAATGGTTGTGATTATGCTCACTGCACTCTGCATCTCAGTCGTGTGTTTTCTTTTTCTCACACTTCAGATGGAGAAAGTATTTTCCCGACGTGCTTCTTGAACATCACAAAATGAGATGACTTATGCATCTTGCTGCTGGAGGTTTGATGTTATCCATGCTAATTTCTAAGGTTCTTGTAAACAGTCTATACATGTACACAATTTTTTTGGTACAATATCATCACTTGTGCTTCTCAAAAATTTCAGAAAACCACATTTTGATTATTGTGTAAATTTTAGTTATTCTTCATTATGCCGGATCTCAAGTGTTTTTTCATTGGTTGAGGTTTGATGCTGAGTTTAATGATGCTACTGTTGCTGCAGCAAGTTAAATGTTTGTCTTGTGATGCTTTGGACAGTTATTGTTGGCAAAAATCGTTTTGAAAGCAGGAATTGAGATTAATGACAAATTGAAATAATAAAGATCACAAAAAAAGGACAAGATTAAAGTAAAGAAGAAAGAAGAAAATTGTAGAGGAAACGATGTTTATTAATAACAATTGAGAGAAAAATACAAGAATTAAGCAATTTATGCTTCTCTGGTCGCTAAAACTGAATGAAGAGTCTACTATTTATATGGAAGATGTCCAAACTCAAGATGGAAACAAAATAAAAAACAAGTCAGGTGAAATAAAGGAAAAAATATGTTCTCAATATTTTTCCAATAAAACACGGGAAATAATGGAAATAATATTTTTCCAAATACGTGCAAAGAAGGAAAAATATATTTCCAAATATTCCAACATAATTTGGGTTTTTCACATATGGTAACCCAATTTGGGTCACCAATTCCAACAATCTCCACCTTGACCCAAATAAAGTAAAGAAGAAAGAAGAAAATTTCAGAGAAAATGATGTTTATTAATAACAATGGAGAAAAAATACAAGAATTCAGCAATATATGCTTATCTGGCCACTAAAACTAGATGAAGAGTTTACTATTTATAGGAAAGATATTCAAACCCTAGATGGAAACAAAATAAAAAACAAATCATGTGAAATAGAGGAAAAAAAATTTCAATATTTTTCCAATAAAACATGCGAAATAATTGAAATAATATTTTTCCAAATACGTGCAAAGAAGGAAAAATATATTCCCAAAGACTCCAACCTAATTTGAGTTTTTCACATATGGTAACCCTAATTTGGGTCACCAATTCCAACATAAGGTGTGATAAGAGGTTGTTACCAAAGTCACTGCTCATGAATTTGAGTAAGAAAAATATTTTCTCAATATTTTTCTAATAAATCACGTGAAATAATGGAAATAATATTTTTCCAAATACGGGCAAAGAAGGAAAAATATATTCCCAAAAATTACAACCTAATTTGGGTTTTTCACATACGGTAACCCTAATTTGGATCACCAATTCCAATATTCTCCACATTGATCCAAATTCCGGTTCAGTGAACAAAACTTCAAAATTTCTCCACCTGAGAAATGACTATGTCTACATCGAAATGAACAGTCTCCTCAAACAGTAACCAAAACTCTCCATCATACAAAAAATATCTTCCTCTGCCCGATATCCATAAGCGACTTGAACCCTAAACCCGGGATCCCAAAATTCCAACAAGGAATTGATTATTGACAAAACAGGGTTGAAGCACTCACTGTAGCACAATCCACTCCAGATGCATGATCAGAAGGCCTCCTTACTAGAACTGTCACCTTCAACGATCCCAAATGCATTACAGACATCTCCAACACTGTACCTACGCTCCATGAGTCCAACACTAGTATGTGAACACAGTGAATCCGCTGTACTTGGTGGCAATGCGAGATCACCAACACTCTCATGAGCAATGTTCTGAACTGACCCAGAGCCTGTCACAAGAGGTACTGTACCAAATTGAATTTCCACCACGNCCGGTGGTCTTCCAGTGATCCTTCTTCTGCCATGCAATGGGAATACAGTCTTTGCTTTAGATGTAGTTTGCCTGTGAGACTTTTGGTCATGCATAACTGCTCTAATTTCAACCACAAAGCAATCGTTGTTTTCTCCTTCAAGACATCTTGCAGAATATTATTAGAGGGATGAAGATGAATCTGCGATAAAGCCTTCCTGTCTTTCCGTTGTTTCTCCTTCATTGTCGAGTTTGCTGGCATTTTATCAAAACCCAGCAAAGCATTGTCCAAATCCATCTGTGCTTACACAGCCCTCATCTTTACTTGCCATAGCGAAAACCTTGTATTGTGATCCAACGGCGGAATATCACATTTCAATGAAGCCATCTCTGAAAAATTTCAATCAAATCACAAAGAACCCACAACCTTGGTTCTGATACAACTTGTTAGGAAAAATCGCCTTGAACGCAGGAATTGAGATTAATGACAAATTGAAATAACAAAGATCACAAGAAAAAATGACAATATTAAAGTAAAGAAGAAAGAAGAAAATTTCAGAGGAAACGATGTTTATTAATAACAATGGAGAGAAAAATACAAGAATTCAGCAATATATGCTTCTCTGGTCACTAAAACTGAATGAAGAGTTTACTATTTATAGGGAAGATGTCCAAACCCAAGATGGAAACAAATAAAAAACAAATCACATGAAATAAAGGAAAAAATATTTTCTCAATATTTTTCTAATAAAACACGTGAAATAATGGAAATAATATTTTTCCAAATACGTGCAAAGAAGGAAAAATATATTCCCAAATATTCCAATCTAATTTGGGTTTTTCACATATGGTAACCCTAATTTGGATCACCAATTCCAACAATTATCATTATAAATTCCACAGCTTCCTGTGGCTAACTACGAATTAAGCATATTTCCCTATCCCTATAAATTTGGGATTGGCTGCGTAGTTTCTTTTCTACCATGTTCGGTTCATTGCTAGATGTTTAGTCAATGCCATGACTCTTCATTTTGGCCAACCCTTCCTTCCGATATGTACAACCGTTATCACATCACTCTTGCGAACATGCAAGAAGACAATTTATGTGTTTTCAGCTGCATTAACCATCTTGTTGCTAAAATCTTGAACTCTTTTAATTTTTCTATAGTTTATTCCTAAGAATATGTTAGTTGAAGATAAATTTTAAGCAGGTACAAGTGATTAATCTCTCTCCACTTAAAGCGGTTCAATATGGTATTAAAGACGAAGGTTAGTGTCATTTTTTTCCTTGAGTTTGTACTTTTGTGATTACTTTCTAAAAAAAGTTTGACAAACTCAAGATTTGACTTGCTAACTCGTCTCACATATGCATAATTCAATATTTGTTTTCTTAGCTCCTTCTTGGGAGAATGTTATACAGTAGATGCAGCCACGATTATTGACCAATTTCAAGTAGAACAACCAATATGTGCCTTTAATATTTAATTCAATATTCTTTAGAAATGACAATTTTAGTATTTTGTTACATATAGAGTCAAAAATGATGACACAAATGGGGGCCGGCACATTTGCAACGATCGGAAAACGGAATAAAATATGTCCAAAATTGCCCCGAGACTTAATTAATTTGGATCAAGATCAAATCGATAGTACCAATCGAACCAACTCAAACCGAATCGAATTGCATTGGTTTTATTTTTGCAACAAGATTAGATCGATTTGGACTTCAAATTCATTCGAATTCATTTGGATGCTGTGTCGAGTTTGGCTCAAAACCGAACCAACCTAACCTTGGCTCGGCCATAAGTCCAGCCGTTATCCAGCGCAAACGTTTTAACGGTTGTCTTATTCAATAAACGCCCATTTTTGAGACTTTGTTCCAAGAGGTTTATCCCTTACACAATCGTCTGATTCTCTTTTTAATTGTTAGCGAGCGAAAACGCGCGAAACATAACTGCATTAACCATCTTGTTGCTAAAGTCCTGAACTCTTTTAATTTTTCTATAGTTTATTCCTAAGAATATGTTAGTTGAAGATAAATTTTAAGTGGGTACAAGTGATTAATCTCTCTCCACTTAAAGCGGTTCAATATGGTATTAAAGACGAAGATTAGTGTCATTTTTTTCCTTAAGTTTGTACTTTTGTGATTACTTTCTAAAAAAAGTTTAACAAACTCAAGATTTGACTTGCTAACTCGTCTCACATATGCATAATTCGATATTTGTTTTCTTAGCTCCTTCTTGGGAGAATGTTATACAGTAGATGCAGCCACGATTATTGACCAATTTCAAGTAGAACAACCAATATGTCCCTTTAATATTTAATTCAATATTCTTTAGAAATGACAATTTTAGTATTTTGTTACATATAGAGTCAAAAATGATGACACAAATGGGGACCGGCACATTTGCAACGATCGGAAAACGGAATAAAATATGTCCAAAATTGCTCCGAGACTTAATTAATTTGGATCGAGATCAAATCGATAGTACAAATCGAACCAACTCAAACCGAATCGAATTGCATTGGTTTTATTTTTGCAACAAGATTAGATCGATTTGGACTTCAAATTCATTCGAATTCATTTGGATGCCATGTCGAGTTTGGCTCAAAACCGAACCAACCAAACCTTGGCTCGGCCATAAGTCCAGCCGTTATACAGCGCAAACGTTTTAACGGTTGTCTACCGAACCAACCTAACCTTGGCTCGGCCATAAGCCCAGCCGTTATCCAGCGCAAACGGTTTAACGGTTGTCGGTCATTTCCCCTCTCTCTCCCAACTTTTTCTAAATTTTTCCACTCTCTCATCCTCGATTTCAATAATATTAATACGCAATCTTTGATCTGATCCCTGTTCATTGAATCTCATCAGATCCGTTTCAAAACCTATCAATGGCTGCTTCGCGTCGGCTACGGGAGCTCCAATCGCAGCCAGGTAACAAGATCTGCGTGGATTGTTCGCAGAAGAATCCGCAATGGGCCTCCGTCTCTTACGGCATTTTCATGTGCCTTGAGTGCTCCGGTAAACACCGCGGCCTCGGCGTTCATATATCCTTTGTTCGATCTGTGACGATGGACTCGTGGTCCGAGATCCAATTGAAGAAAATGGAGCTTAGCGGGAATGAAAGATTTAATCAATTTATTTTGCCCTATGGAATCCCTAAAGAAACTGATATTGTTACCAAATATAATACCAATGCTGCATCTGTTTATCGAGACCGGATTCAATCACTAGCCGAAGGCAAACCCTGGCGTGACCCCCCTGTCGTGAAAGAAACAATCGGATCCGGTAATAAGAGCAATAGTTATAATAATAAACCTCCGTTAGGTGGTGGGGATAGGAATGGTAATTCTGGAAACAATGCAGGGTGGGATAGTTGGGATAGTTATGATGATGGAGGGTTTAGTGGAAATTCGAATAATAATATTAGGAGGAATAATACGGTGGGAGATTTTAGGAGTGGTGGAAATGGGGGAGGTGCACCATCTAGGTCGAAGTCGACCCAGGATATTTTTTCCCGGGCACAATTGGAGGCATCGGCTGCAAATAAGGAGGACTTCTTTGCTAGGAAGATGGTAGAAAATGAGACAAGGCCTGACGGGATCCCACCCTCCCAAGGTGGGAAGTATGTTGGCTTTGGGTCAACCCCTCCTCCGGTGCCAAGGAACAATTCTCAGGGGGATGTTCTTTCGTCTGTTACTCAGGTGCATTCGTACATGTGCTTATGCAGATGTTTTTAGTTATTTATGTGTTGAGTGTTACTAATGTGGTGTTGTGTACACAGGGATTTGGTAGGTTATCTGTGGTGGCAGCATCGGCTGCACAGTCAGCTGCAAATGTTGTTCAAGCAGGGACGAAGGAGTTCACTTCCAAGGTACCTTGGCTTTTCAGGATTGTATTATCAGTGGTGCTTGTGATATTTGTCATTGTGGTATCTTGTAATTGTTCTGATTCTATTTCAAACAACAGGCAATGTGACAATTGCATATCCATCAAATCTGAGGGAGTAACATTTATAATATGTCCATGCATGCTTTGTTGTTTTCTTGATATTTAGGTTGTCAGTTTTAGTTTGCACTTATACCGTGTGTCATTCTTGAGTATAGCATTTTTGTGTAAAGATCAATATTTTAAAAACTGATCCCGCCATCGACCCAGAAAAGAAAAAGGGTTGAGGGTTCAAAAGATTGAACCGAGATCAAACCTGTGATTTTTAAAAAATAAAAAAAATATATTCATTTAAAAATTTAAAAAAATATACATTTACATAAGTTGAACCGGTTAAACTGGGAATGGGTCAGGGGTTTGCCAAAAATCGGCCAGTTTAACTGGTTTTGGAATGAGGTTTTAATTAGAGGTTTTACAAGCCCAACCGAATCGCTTTTGGTCCCAGTTGAACCGGCCGGGCCGGACGAGACCGGACCGGACCGGTTTTTAAAACATTGGTAAAGATTGGCTGCTGCCTGGAAAACGTGAATTCTGTTTAGTTTGTTTCAGAATGATTAGTTTGGAGCTTTATAGAATGAAGTGTATTCAATAGTTGGATGAGAGATTTAGTGCCCTTGGTAGTTGGAATTAAAAATTGTTTTTTCTTTTAACTGTCAAGCTTAGTAGGATATGATCTTGGCCTTATTTCTTGTTCATCAATAAGTTCTTTAAGGATGGAGTTTCGTGCCACCATATACAAAGCTCACCGTGTGAGTCTTGGGAATCAGTTTGTCAAAAGTAGTTCGTACCATCTCTAAGGAACAAACAAACAGCTTCGCTAGTTACCCCTAAAACCTTGGTGATCGAAGAGATGCGTGAAATTTTGGTTTCAGAAGGTGTGATTTTCTACTGGTTCTTTCATGTATTTAATTCAAATGATCTCCTTTCTCCCTTCTATGTGATTCAAACATTTTGAGTGTTAGTGCCTGTATGATTCTGGATAGAAGCTCTCCTCCTAGTTGCCACACTACTTTTCGTGAGGAATGAATGAATATTAGGTCTATATGTCAAAGCTGAAACTCTTCTCACTAGCCATCAGGCAAGCATGTAGAATGTTTATCAGATGGCATAAAAACGTCATCACAACTATCCTTTGGGAATTATGATTGGCTTCCATAATTATTTCACATTTAAATCTGTTAAACTATGTAATGATATCTTCCAAAATTTCTATTTGTCCACCTTAGCAAGCCTCCTACTATAAACATAAATTGGATCGTTGTCATCAGACAGAGGGCCCTTGGTGTCTATCCTAGCCAACATTTCATACTACTGGACCCTAACCATTCTGGCCTCAGCGAACATCTTCTTCTTCAAAGGTTAAGCTTTAAAGAACAAACTGTAGCTTGTGTATGACACATCATATAAATTAGGTTGGAATGCGGAGCTATGTTGAGCGGATATCATTTAGCTTTGCACTCATTATTTGTGGAGTGCTGCTTTGAAAAAATCTTTATTCTGTCACTGTCCATACAGATATGCCGAACCAGGTGTTTGTGTTCCAATTACTTAATTATTCGTATTGTTATCAAACTGTTTTGATATGTCCTGTAGACAGCGTGTGTTTTAATATGGCAGTAAGCTGCTAAAAGTATAACTACACCCGAGAGGAGCAAAACCTAGGGAAAATCAACAGAACACTGTAGCCCTTGCCCCGTTGGAAATAACAATTTGAAGGGGGACATAACTTACGTGATTCAAAGGATAAACAGCCTTAAATAATTCAATCAGTTTCTGCAGTAGAATAAAGAATCGAAGATATTTTTCCTTTTATGACAAGCCGAACCTCAACCTTTAGTTAATTAGTGGGGTCTGTCCTCATGGACGGTTTCCATCCAAAAGGTCCGTAAGTAATTGCCTTAAATGAAACTAGAAAAAATAATTTATATAAAGAAGAAAAAAAATAAAAAAATGGGAAAAAATAAAAAAATAAAAATTTCCTCATGCCTTATTCACCAGCAATAGTGTTGCCAAGCCTAAACCCACCTGCTACAACCCATGACCCAATACCGCTGGTCACATTGGCTACAAGCACCTAGTAGAGTTATAAACATTTCAAGCCTTGTCTCGACATTTCATCAGCAACTCGAAAACCCTTCTTTGCCTTCCCATGGTGACTGTATCCTCCAATCATTTAGTTCCACACTTCAAATCATGCTTGTGCAAAAGAGAAAATATGAATTCAGCACCCTCATTTTTCTCCCAATAATACCTGCCGTATAGGTTCATATTTTTTACCCGTTTCATTTCCTTTTGAATTGTGGTTTTCTCGCGATGCAATTTTGTATTGATTTCTTGGCATTACAGTTGATTTGGAAGAGTTTGGCAAAGATTTCATTTCAAGTCCTCTTTCGTTCACCAAAGATCTCATTTCCCCTGTTGGCGGTTGTGGGTATGGGGTTTGTGGTTGTGCTGGTGGATGGCGGTGGGGTGTGGTTGGGAGTCTGGTTGGAAATGGAGCTCCTGATTTTTAATTTTTTTTTTCATATTTCTCCTTTTCTATTTATTTTCTTCTTCATATAAATTATTTTTTCTTATTTAATTAAGTTTATGGACAACTATGTCATTTCAAGGCATTGGAATGTACTTTTTAGATGGAAACTGTCTTTGATGATGAACCGTGCTAATTAATTAAAAAAAATTGATTTGTCACAATATTGGAGATTATAGGAACTTCTTATAATTTTATTCTCTAACAACTTTACGAAAGTAGAATGTAGTAGTACTAGTTAGTGAATTTTAACATTTTCACATAATCAATACGCTCTATCATTCGTTCTTTTTAAACGACAAACAAGTTCATTAATCACTTGAGCACACAAATAGTTATTTTTTTAAATTCAAATCACAACTCACAAGTGTATAATAAGTTAAAAAAATAACAAATAAAAGAAAGAATAATGAAAAAAATGACTTGAATGAGAATCTAAGACTTATCGCGAGAGAAGAGAGAAATGATGATTCTTTTATTGAAAATTGACAAATTTTATTATCTAACGACTTTACCAAAGTAGAATGTAGTAATACTAGTTAGAAAATTTTAACATTTTCACACAATCAATACGCTATATCATTCATTTTTTTCTAAACGACAAACAGTTCATTAATCACCTAGACACACAAATAGTCATTTTTTTTAATCCAAATCACAATTCACAAGTTTATAATAAGTTAAAAAACAACAAATAAAAGAAAGAAAGAATAATGAAAAAAATGACTTAAATGAGAATCTAAGACTTATCAAGAGAGAAGAGAGAAATTGTGATTCTGGTAGAAATTAGTAGACTAACAAGCAAAAAGCGACTAACGATTTGCGATTGAAAATAGCATTTTGTTCAGCAGTGGCAGACAAGTGTTAAATGTTTGAGAAATGAGAGTTTAGGTAGCTTCTAAAGTTGTGAGAGTGATTTGTTGTCGTCGTTTTGTTATATTATGATTTGGATTGTTGAAAATAAATGTTTTTTCATATGATTTGAGATTAGTTTTAGTTTAGATTAGATATCGGGTCACGACGTGTTATAGACTTATAAAACTATTGGCCAATCATGCTGAATTAATTTACTTTATATGATTATATTGGGTCACGACGTGTGTTGTGGACTTATAAAACTATCGGCCAATAATGATGAATTTAATATATTTTATACGATTATTTTAATGGGTTTGTTGTAATTTATATTGTTAAATTGATATTTTTTCTAAAAAGTAAAGACTTTAAAATTTGTAAGTTAATAAAATTTATTTTTTAGTTAAAAAATTAAAAAATGGTTCGGTTCGGTTCGGTTCGGTTCGGTTTTATGCGGTTTTTTTAAAATTGAAACCTAAACCAAACCATTTTGAAACGGTTTGGTTCGGTTTGAAGGAAAAACCGCGGGTCCTTGTGGACCCAAACCGGCGGTTTTAAACTAACGGTTTCGGTTTGGTTTGTGGTTTAGCAGTTTTTTTGTGTAGCCCTAATAAGAAGTTATGACCAAAACGTGAACTTTTATGTGATTTATGCTTGACATTGCTACTTAAGATTTTTGGATTCTTATGGATTTGAATAGAATTCTACAAAATTAATAAAATTTTAACATAATTCTATTTTATAGATATTAACTTTGTTGGATTTTAATGGATTGCTTAGTATCACGATAAAACGATATAACTTAATAGAATACTAAAAAAAATAAAAATTCCGACTTTATAATTAGAAATAAAATTCATAATTTTATTGTTTATTACAGAAAATTCATATTTTGTCATCTAAAGGAATAATTTCATCAATCTACAAAATCAAGCTTATAAATATAAAAAAATTAGTTCAATTTGAAAGTTAAATCATTTTCATTATACCTTCGAGAATTACGTACAAATTTTTCACTGAATATTTTATATTAAATAATAGAGTTCCAAAAGAAGAATGGACCAGTTCATTTTTCATTCTTAGAGCATCTCCAAGTGACTCTTTATTTATAAAGTGCATTTTATGTATTATAGAAAGTATCTTTAAATTTAAAAAGTCAAAATTTTTATACACTCCAATAATGCTCTCTATTTTGTATCTTTATTTTAACTTTTATCAAAAAAATCTATTGATTTCTCCTCATATATTAGTTTAACATAAATATTATATGTCAATGGCCAATCAATTTAAATGTGGTTTGAATAGTTTAAGAAATAGAATATTGAAATTTGTGACTTATTAAATACAATCATTGTACATTAAAAAGAGAGAGTGGGTTTAACTCTCTAAATTGATACTCTCTATTTTAAAAAGTTAAAATAGAGGGTATCTTGAAGCTTATTTTTAAGTATTAGCTCTTTAAAAGAAATTATATTATATATTTAGAGTTTCTTGGAAATGCTCTTAGCTATCCATAATAAAAATTTGATTCCAAATTCCAATAGGAACGAGAACTGATTCCTCGTTTCTTTTTCTCTCCCACTTGAAATTTCTGAATGAGAATTGGAAAAAAGATATTTATGAATGAGAATTTCTCAATTCCTTGTGGCATTTGAAGACACTACGTCAGAGGTTCTCTCTTAAAGATTTGTCGCCGGCTGCCTCCTATTATTCTAATTTCTTGCTTTTTCAAAGAAGCAAAAGGTTCAACTTTCTGGCATTATGTGGATAAAAAAGGCATAATACATTTCCAATCAAGTTATCCTTTTTGCCAAAATATTTGAATGTACAGTGTGATGAATACATATGTTTATCCTCCTTTTTACAGGTGAGAGAGGGAGGGTATGATAACAAGGTGAATGAGACTGTCAGTGTTGTGACTGCAAAGACATCAGAAATCGGACAAAAGACATGGGGAATCATGAAAGGGGTGATGGCTCTAGCTTCACAAAAGGTTGAGGAATACACTAAAGAAGACTCTGGCTTGAAGAATGATGGCTGGCAACGGAACGAGAGTGAAAGAAAAGGTTACTATCAGGAGTCTAAAGGATGGAATCATTCTCCTGGTGTGCAACACTCATCTGGTCGACAGTTCAACTCTGCCAGCTCTGGCTCCTGGGACGATTGGGATTATAAAGACAACAGGAAAGAAGAACCATTTAAGGGAACAACATCCCAGAATGGAGATAGCTGGGCAGGCTGGGATGATGCAAAAGATGATGGATCTGATAATTTCTATCGAAATGCATCTGATCACAAGTCTGTGGGTTATAATGGAAAATCGGATAGCAAGTGGTCAGAGGGAGGTTTTCTCTAAGGTTAGTATATATCATTCATAATTCTTTTTCAAAAAAATTTCCCTTCAAAATTTAGCTTCATCTTTTGGACTTGTTGGAAAGCTTGTGTGTTCAAGATAAGTGAAAAATTGCGCACGCGTGTATAATGCTTGTTTGTATTGCCAGGATAATTCTTTCGTGGGTTTCTAAAATATGAGACAGCATTCTGATTTATAATGAAATTAGTTGTTTTTTAATGTTTCTTTAGTATGTGTACTTTGATCATAATTCAAGCTACTCAAGTACTCTGCTGTGTTTAATTTTTCATGTGCGTAAATATTTCTACTGATATTTCATGGTTTGTACATGAATGTGTTGCTTGGAGTTATCAAATGGATGGGTCCATGTTCTCCAGTTTTAAAAGGGTTTGAAGAAGAGGCTGTGATTTGAAGTCATCAGAGTATTCAGTAATTAGATCTTTATAGCTTGTAATGATGTTTAGTTTAAATTTCCTATTTTTTATGCTGAAAATCCAACTTGAAATCTTTCTGAGAAATTTCAGATGGCGATTTCAAGGGAGAAACACTATAAAAATGGGATAGCTAGAAGTTCCAAATTCTATTGCTGCAAATTCCCAAATAAAGGGTAGCCTGGTCTGGACTCAGTAAATTTCATTCGATGTTGAACGTGAACTGCAAAGGTTACATACCGTTTGAAAGGGGGGAATTCGGCATTATTTATCCTACCTCTGGAGCTTAGGGTTAGCCTAAAGCTACAATTTCTAAGAATTAGAACATGGAAAGTGAATTTATTTTGCACCATAGGATGGAGTGCTATGCATCACAAATATATTATAAGTTTTTTCCAACTGAATTGTCTTTGTAGTCCACTGTTTTTATGTTTGGAGTCTTGTGTTTGGCTCTTCATTACTTGCCTTCCCATTTCCCAACCTCAATAAGATCAATTTCCGGCTTTGGGCTATCGCTAATGCATCTTTGACCATATTGCATATATACTGGTAAATATTATGCAGTACTATCGAACCACTTTTATATGGTAGCATGCGGATCAGGAAAATAGGAAGCATATGGAACTTCATGTTGTGTTCTAGTGAAAAGAATTTGAGAATTTATTTTGAATTGCTTGATTGATTTTTGACACCTCATTTGTATGTAAACTATAATGTAACTTCATTATGTACAACTAGCATTATTCAAAAAAGAAATGAATTGTGCTACATGTACATAATAACTTACGGAATTGTTTACATACTGTTGATGTGGCGATGTTTTGGGGTAAAATCTCGCCAATCATTAAAAAAAAATTCACGCTATATGTATATCATCATTTTTTACACTGTCATATGACAACACACCATTAGAAATTTTTTTAAAAATAGCAATTTTCCCTCCAATCATTTTTTTACAACACTTCAAATGTCAAACTAGATTACACTCATCTAGTATTTTTGTAAAAATAAATAAAAAGAAATTCCCTATTTTTTTCTTTTAACCCTAATCAGTTTTCCTCCTATTTCACCATGCTTTCATAAATAAATATAATAAACGGAAGACTAACATCCCAAAACCTTCTCCACAGGGCTGGCCTTGAATTTTGCGTGCCTTATGCGGCATTTTAAAATGGTATTCCTTTCATGAAAAAAAAAAATCAATAATATTATTTCATTACAAAATTATGACATTTAAATACTGTTCAATTTTTAAAATGTCGTGAATTTAAAAAGTACAAGTAAAGGTCAAAAGCATCTCCTAAACTTCAACAAAATTTACATGTCATCAATCAAAAACTATCCAAACTACTAAACTATTCGTGCAATTCTATATGAGCAAATCTTGAAATCAGAAACATCAAATACCACGTGTAAACCTTGAAATGCAATAAATCATGTAATCTTCTCAGATTTTTATAAGCAAATTCACTAATTAAACTTTCTTAATCAACAAGTTCGAGCAAATCTTGTTCAACGGATATCAAAGTTATGTCATTCAGTCGTTCTTGTAACATGATTGATCCTAGGTGGATCAAAAAACTTGCTTTTTGCTAAGTGTAACAAGGAGCAAGGATGGGAATGAGATGGAGATGGAGTTTCAACGCACTACTTCAATTATTTTTTGTATGCGTGGTTGGAAATGTCTATTTTTTTTTCTTTCTTCCACGGAAAATTAATGGGTAAACTATGTTTTGGCTTCCCAACTTTTCGCTTTTAAATGTGAGGCTTCGGGTTCTTAATTAATTTAAATTGGTGAATTTAGATCCCGAAGCGATCGAAAAACCATCAATAGCATTAAAATTGTACTCTTGAGATTCACAGTCAGAGGGCTTGATTGTTAAGGCGCTAACATTTATCTTCAATGCAACGGGAAGTCGCGTGCAATTTGAATTTTCATCATGTTCAAAACCAAATTCAAATAATTGGTTGAGGATTTATAATCATGATACGTGAAAGATAGGGAGCCCAGTCCTAATTTACATAATAAAACTAGAAAAGTTGGGGAAAAATTGTCAAGAAATGAAGATTACAGATTCGTTTGTACTAATAGGTTAAGAACTAATAATTTTTACTATTTTTTGTAGTAAGGCCTTGTTTGATAGAGCATTATTTTTCATGAAAAATGGAAAACAAATTCCAACTTCTACTTTTGCCTTGTTTGATACACTTTATTTTCTATGAAATTTTTTTTCCATTTTTGACTCACATGCTCACCAATTTTTTGGTTTGGTGGAAATTGATTTTCCATCTTTTTTTTTTAAAGCAATTGGAAAATTTTTTAAGTACAATGTTTAAAAAAATGTATCGCTTTTATTGATAATTATCATACAAAACAAAGCCAAACGAATGGTATTCGGTATGGTAATTTATTTTTTAAAAAAACAAATTCTAGACTCAATGGTAAAGGAAATTATCACTTTAATGGACAATTTTCATGAAAAAAAGCCAAACGGACATCAAACTTTCAACAATTTTCAAGTGGAAAAGTATATCAATCAAACATAATTAATTACAATTCTCAATAAAACAATTTCTAGGCAATTCATTTCTCTAGAAATCATTTTCATTCCACTCATTTTTCACATTTGCAATCAAACGGACCCTAATAATGTTCTTTAGAAATGTTGAGCTCGTGTTTAGGTCTCGTTAAAATTATAATTCATTTTTCTCTCTCTTATTTATCATATTTTTCAATAAAATAATATTATACATAATTCCAAATATGTTTTCCTGATTTAACCGCATATTACTTAAAAAAAAAAATACGATTCTAACTATTAAAATTTCAAATAATGGGCAAACAGAGCTAAATAAGTTAAACCATTAGAAAGCTTTGATCTTTGCATGGCCTGCCTTAATTCGTTCAAATTTCTAATCTCGCATACCACATGTGAAAATTAGCATTGTCTAAATTGTCGAGGATAATTAGTTGTCTCAAAAGTGATGGATCAAAAAATTATTTGCTGCAGTAAAATTCTCCACTACACATTCACCCAATAAAATATTCTACATATAAACCAATAAAATTATTTTAATTTTCAACCACACATTCTCCAAAAAATACTATTCATTATACTAATTTTTTCCCAATAATTGGAGACAAGCAAGCTCTTAATAAGAACTCAGTTTAGCTTCCTTTATCAAGTCTCACTGTTATCCATATTAATTGCGCTCATGTGATGGAGGGACCCCACATTGGACGACATCGATTGATTACTTAACGATTGAATTACAATCATGCTATTTGTACAGAAATGGTTGACAGAAGAGATTGACCAAGAGTTATGTTACATGTACAAAGTTAGTTTATAAAGTTGGTTGATAAAATAATATCTACACCAAATCATTTTAAAAATAGATATATAAAAATCATAGGTCTGAATTTTACCAATACACTTTGTAATCCAATTTTTGTAACTCAATTTTGTACAAGTAACTTTATTAGTTGACCAAACACTCTTCATATGATGGCCCACTTATTTCGAAATTTTTTACTCACACGGGCCCACGCGTATGTGAGATATAGTCAAAGGCTCTTCTATCAATCATTTCATGTTCAAATGGAAAAACCCATTGAATTAAGAAACTCGTTTTCACTTGGACTCGGCCCATCTCCCTATATATGCAAAAGCTCATTCAAACTGAAGCAAGTTTTTACTTCCTCTAGCCAAATCTCCCTCTCCAATCTTTCTTGCACTCCATTTAATTTATTCCAACATTTGACTTGACCATGCGCAACCAATTCGACTGGTGACATTTGCATCCTAACAACGTGTTCAATGAACAGATGAAGCTTGAGTGAATGGATAAAAATGTTCAATGTCAGGGAGTGGCATGAATGGATAAAAATGACACAACCTTGAGCTCACAAGACATTGATCTGAACAATACTGCAAGTGCAGCAAAGATCTAAACAAATGTTAATACCATTAAGAAGCTCAATCCAAGAACATAAATCAACTTCAAATTCTCCATAATTATATTAAAAACAAAATTGAAAATAACTAGATTGCAGAAATTTCACTTCATTAATTGAAGATCCAAGATGGAGCTCACTACATTCATTTAGCCCAGAAGAAACACCCTAACTCCAATTAAACCTACATTTACATGAAACCCTAATTTCCCAAAAGAAATCTAAGAAACCAAGCGCATGCAAAGAGCTTAACCCCCAAAGCCGTATAATGTTCGGCCCTGCCTCTTCAGCGCATAGACAACGTCCATTGCAGTGACAGTTTTCCGGCGAGCGTGCTCGGTGTAGGTGACAGCATCGCGAATAACATTCTCCAAAAAGATCTTAAGGACACCACGAGTCTCTTCGTAGATGAGCCCGCTAATGCGTTTAACTCCACCTCTCCGGGCCAGACGTCGAATCGCGGGCTTGGTGATGCCCTGAATGTTATCACGAAGCACCTTACGGTGGCGTTTTGCTCCGCCCTTTCCCAAACCCTTGCCTCCCTTTCCTCTTCCAGACATTTTTACGCTCAAGCACAACAAAATTGAGATGTACAAGAAATGATACGTGAATCGGGGTTGATTATAAGGAGAATTTGAGTGTTTAGAGCCGTTGGATTTCATGTGTTAATCGACGGTGAATATTGACGATCCATGCCCAGTAAATCAACTACTTTCAGCCGCTTAATGGATCTACGGTGAATAAGATATTCGTAGCAGCTGATCTTGACCGTCTTTCCATCAGATCAACGGTTCATGTGGTCACGATCCTCTTCAACCAAACTCACCAATCAGACTCTACGCCCTACTTAACACGTGTACATGGTGCCTGTCTAGTGTCTAGTCAACTTTACAATTTCAGAGGAAATGACAAAAAACTCTCTTTTATAAAAACGTTCAAAATTTGTTCAATGTCAATTTTACAATATTTTAAACCAAAATAAATTTTGACACATGACATACCCAATTTATTTCAAAAGTACATGTTAAATCAAAATAAATATTATATTTCTCATTGACATGTGTATTAAATATCGAGAACTATATTTCAAATATTAAGAACTTTATGAAACGTAAAGCTCTCATGTTTTCGTTCTAGATAAATGAAGTATTGAGATAAATATGGTTCAAATATCGATAACAACTTTAAAAATGTTGAGAACGTCAATTTAATGTAATTTCTTATGGAATCTAATTCTTCTTCTCGAAATTCTTAACAAATTGAAACAAAAAATTGCTTTATTTCTTATTAAGGGTATAGTAGACAATTGAGTGCTAAATTTGGCCATTTTTGTAAGAGTTATTATAAACAGTAGACACTTTTTAATTGAGAAGAATGAAATTAGACATTTTTGTAAATTCACCTTAATTTTAAATGTACGTCTTGTTTTACCACATGATTGACATCTCCATATGGCAGTGATGTGTGAGATTGTTGGAAAAACTAAAGGATAAGATGGTGTTATGGAGAAGAATGTAAAGGAAGATGCCAACCATAATGTACATGTATCATGGTTATAATTTTAAATGGTTACGAAAAAACTTAGCCCATTTTTTTTATAAAAGTTAGCCCCGTCTGAGAGTGATTTTACAAGATTTTAATTCAATTTTTGATCATTGAAAATGTAGGTGGGTCTCATTTGTCCTGTAATTATTGACTCAACGTGAAACAAATTACAAAAATGTCATTTTCTCAAGAAGAATGAATTAAATGTTAAAACGTATCATTTTACTTGATTCGGTCGATAGTTTCGGCTATCCTATCGTTGACATACATCGTATAACGACATAAGATACGCTAAAAATTTTAAAAAAAATCTTTCCTAGACATGGGTTAATTTTTTTCAAAACTCTTATTAGATGCAACTAATAAACAAATAACAAAACACACTGCTAAGTGTTGCGAATACTTCAAACGGGTGGTTACAAGTCAAGCTGATAGAAAACCTGATTACAAAACAACGTGTAAGTATTGTAAAGTAAGATTAGCATGGCAAAAGAATATCAAAACTACACAAAGATTCGGTACAAATCTTAGGCATCGGGCCATACCCATCTCTACCGCTAACATACCTTCAGCATCTAGACTCCAATTAGCATATACTGATACTGATACTTCTTCTTCCTACAATCGAAGTACAATGAATGTAGGTGCATGTGGAATAGCAATAGAAAAAGCTGGATATTTTACTCACTACATGCTTACGATTGTAGATCCGTCTGGTGCATTAGATTTAGACTTAGTTTAGTTCACATGATGATCTACTGATACTTTCAATTAGAATTGTAGCATCGAAATCTGCTTTTAGTGCAGGCATCAAGATTTGTTCAAGTTTAGATCAAGACTAAAAGAAGATATATTAGAGAACTTAATGTATTGAAAAATCTTGTAAATATTAAACCGATTTCAATATAAATTCAAAAGAATGAAAATCTAAATTCTAACATTGTTTGATAATGAAAAGATCAAATTAAATGAATAAAAGACACGAAATCACCAATTCCAATCGAGTTCCTTCGTAGTTTCACCAATGATTTTAGTTTTCAATTAGTTTCTTGAGCTAAAGAGGAGAAGAATGGTGTATCGGGGCTTCCTTCATATGTATTCTGCTGTTAAGTATTTGTAAGAGTCGGAAATTGGATGAAAATCACGTCCAAATTAGTTTTCAAAAGAGTTTTAATCGAATAAGGAAAGTTGCATTCGCGCGCGGATTTTTTGTCTGTGCACAGCAGTCAGTAATTTGGTTATAACCTTCTCTTCCAATATCCGATTTAGAAGTTTCAAAATTGTTGGAAAAATAACTTAAAGAGTTACAACTTTGTTAGATGAATTTTACTATGGCAAAAATGAGTTTCAATCTTCAGCTAAAAATCTGGAATATATCTTGTACGAACTGGAAATTGATTTTGATAATATTTTGATCATATTCCATTCCTTTTTTACTTCTAATTGCTTCCAATTGATCCTTAGCATTCTCAAACCTTCATCGTGAGCTCTGACACAATTGTTGCACTTTAGTTCCCGAACTTTCACTTTCTTCCATTTTTGTCATTTTTTGCTATTCTCTTCAATTTTCCACAGTTTTCACCAATTTGCAACATAAACCAAGATATAGAAGTACTCAGTGCATTTATGCATCAAATAATCATAGAAA